TTCCAATGAAAGATACCAAAACGATTTTATGTTCAAGAGAAATCGTACATCATAAAGTACTGTTTACACAAACACTATTATTCACTAAGCTATGGCACAAATACTACATTTTGCAGAATTACTTACTAGCTAGCTCGCAAACGTTAATTGGAAATCTTCGCCGTACTTTTAGAACGAAATAAGGTCATGTCTTGCAACGAAATGAGGAAAATAAACCGGTCCTCAAATTACACCTTAACCCACAGGAACTTCAAACGTAAACGTATTACCATAGTCAACTCTTGACTGTAAAAGTAAATGAGATTGTCATGACAATGGTACAAATCTCTTTCTCTCTCTTTCAGTTGTAATAATGATGCCCTTTCTCGTATCATTGGCAACCAACAAACCTCAATGTATTTTTTATCAATGTGAACAAAATTGCTTACGGGTTATCATTCAAATTCAAGTTTGAGAGGAAAGTTTAGAACAAAAGAATTTTATTTTAATTTCATTTAAATAAATAAATATGCATTTCTCGTTTCGGATGATATAACAATTTAATGTATTTTAAGGAATTCCTCTTTTATCAAGGCAATAGGAATTATTATAAAATCGTAGAAAATATTTTTGAAGTTAAAATTTTATGGTCGTGGTTGATAAGTCTAATAATGTTTTTTTTTTTTTACTTTTGAAGAGAAATTATTAATAATACGCCTGTTCACTAATGAATACCACTCCAACAAATAAATGGCATGATTCATAGAAATAGCTTGTTGTATATGTATTGAATCTTTCTCCTTAGGCCTAATGATTGGACTCTTTCTGCCAGTAATGTAGACCGTTTGGCAACAGAAACTCCACGGCGTCTGGCCAAAAATTCGACGTTCTTTTGGTAACATCCACCAGCGTATTTAACTAGTTTAATTGCCCAAGCTATCAGGAGGCATTTTATCTCTAGAATCCATACATGTATTATAATATCATTCCATTAGTAAAAAAAACCAAAAAAAACAAAAAAAAACTAATATACAAAGGTTCAAAGGTTGTCTATGAATGATTCTGACATATGTTAATATAATTAATCCATACAATGTACTCAATTCTAACTAAAATCAAACACAACCCCGTAGTAAAATATGGCAGTGATCTGTTCTAAAATATATGCCTCATGTTGGATTTGTAACAAACACCAACCATTACACACAATCTTGTAACAGTTTCAGTGGAGCCAGCACAATCTGAAGACTCACACGTGACGGTGCTGCAAATATATCTAACTGTGTTTTACTTTATTTTCCAACAGTATGTAAGAACAATGATGAGTCGCACTTGTCAATAAATACAAAAATTCAAACCATTTTCCGTATGTATTGTTTGTACACTTTTTATTAAAACAAAGAAATGTTTTTTTTTTATTTGGACATATCATTTCGTAAACTAATAATTAATTTGAGATATGAGGTGTCACCATTCAAGTTTGTTTATATTCCAAAGTAATTATTCTATAATTTCATCATATTTCATAAAATAGAACACTGCTATCATCTGATATGGTTATATCAACTTAACAAAACTAAAAAGTTGTTTGAGGATTGCTGTTTTTTTGCAAAATCATATTAAGCCGATCCTAAAATTAGGCTACATATAAGTTTATTGGTATTATGCTATAATGTCTTGACATAATGTTGGCAGTTTTTGATGAAATAGAGCGCTGTAGTTATAAGAGTAAATTGACAATATCACAACACAGCGCCTGAAGTAGTGAGAAATTGTGATGAAACAAATATTGTGCGTCTCTTGTGTATACTCTTACGAACAGAGACACAGTAAACTACACTTATGTTGGTGTTTAGAGAATACAATACAACGATGGGTTACAAATATGTAAATGTTTACAATAACCTGTGTAAGTGAGCACTGAGCAACGATTTGAGCAAAGCATAAATCAATAGTGTTGTGATAAGCTTTATAAAAAGTACATAACACCTAAAACATTTGAATTACCTTATAAATGTTTTTTTATGTACATACAATATTCCCATCGCTATATTATTGTAATAGTGAATATATTACAATAAAGCTACAAAATCAACACAATTTGAACATCGACAATTGTTGGTATTTTAGTTTGCCAATTTAACTTCTCAATCTGCATTGGCCTTCCCTGTTTTAGTAACGGTGGCTAGGCAATGCTTTGGACGCCACCATTGATTTCACAACTACCAAGTTCTTTTTACCTCATTATATTCATATTATATTATTAAAATATATTAATATCGTTTGGAAAGGTTTCATGAAATATTTATCGGTTAGTGATCCAGTTTCTACCGCCAATCTCTCAAGTTGCAGTATCTATTGAACAGAAAAAAAGCGTTGTGGGATTTCTGGTTTTGTTGGTTAACGCACAATTCACGATTACAAAAGTTCAATCAAATTTGTAAATATCATCTGGTTCACAGGTCTCTATTTATGAGTAAATTATAATATAATAGGAATCTCCAAAACAGATCAAAGATATTAGAACAGTTTTAATCCTTTTATTCACGAATTTTCAAAAATATAAAAAAGAAAAATATTTAATTTTACAATCATCCATTGTGTGTCAAATTTTTACTTGAAGTCCCTATAAAAATAAAGTTACTTCAAAATAAAAAGGGTTTGAAAACCACTGATAATATTTTAATTAAATGCAATGCTGTCTCAATGCAAAAAAGCTGGATTCTTTGTCAACGTGTCTGACTTGAATGTAAATCGGTTTTACACCTGGATTTAGTTTAAACAAGTATTGTCTTTTTGTTAACAGAACCAGGTGGCATAACGTAAAATTTTAAACCTATTTAAATTGTATCGTTTATTTTAGTTAGACACATGATTTTCTATGACAAATCTGCATTAGGTTACTTTATTCCCTAAATTCCCAATAATTTAATGATTCCCTTTAAATTGTAAGTCACAAGTAGCAACTTCCTGTTGATACGAGTTTTATCCAGGACGTAATATTTCAAACGTAGGCCTAATCTATACGTACGTCATACATGGGATTAGTGGTTTAGCTGAAGTAGCAGTCTTGAATCAGTAATAACCAACAACAGATGGTATCAGCACAGCTGAGGCAGTTAACTCAGCGAGATCGTCTACGTCCGAGGTGCTGATGTACTAAACTTCAACATCAGCGTCTGGATCAGCAACTATCCTCTGGTAAGGCAGGTAATCCTCTGGTAGATGGAAGGTTTAATGGTCCCTTTAAATGGATATTTTGTGTCTCCGAGTACAACTAGCTTAAGTGGATATTGGTCTTGATCAGCTGTCCTTGATCATTGTGCTTTCAATAAATGGTTCTGACTGTTGAAACAGCTGGCTTTAGTCAATGATAAAGCTACACAAGGCATCACAATCCGTTCTACACTCAGCATTCACTCCTATTTGGGTCCAAATACGCACATAGGTGGCGTCCCCATCTCAAAATGGTAATGGGAATGGTATTTAACTCAAATTTAATTTAACTTGAATGCATTTTTAAAGAAGCAGGCTTTTGTTATTTGGCAATTGCCTTCAAATATATTTGAACAATATAAACCGGTAATGTAAAAAAACGTTTTATTAACAGTAAGCCTATGAGAAAAGTCAGTCGTAATAATATAAAAATAAACACTATTTTCTGTTTAGAATGTTTATTAAATATTAAAAATCTGTTTGTTCCTGATCTTTGGTAATTTTTTGCAATAATATTTAGGTTAGCCACTATTATAAACTCAGTAAATTTGTTATTTATTTATATATTTCGTACGTTTATTTTTCTAGGCAAGTTGGCCTCAGCTCAGCTGTGATTAGAGTTGATGATGTTTTACATTTGCACAAATGTTGGAGATGTGTGATTTCATACATTCATAAACAACACCACTTTACTAAGTGCTCTCGTCATAAAACCTCGCATACGTAACAGAGCTCCGATGAAAAAGTAGTCGTGTTCTAATAGCTTAGATAGCTAATATTGTAATTGCTTTTATATTTCTTTCCCTGTTGTTATTGGTGTTTATATGCATAAACGTATAAGGGTTTTTTATAAATATAATATATATATATGTATATAAACATTATTGAGAATTATTTAAAATTAATTTTTATGACTAAATGTTAGTACGTAATCATGCTTACAATATTTGTATCCGTATTAAAAAAGAGTTGAAAAAATAACTCTATCCAATTTACTTGGTATCTAATTTTAGTTTAAAGCCATTACTTAGCCCATAAATATGTAGTGACTTCCAATTTGTGTTGTCTTTCATTCCTATTTTATTTGTATCCCGCTTACACAATGTGTCATTGGGCAAACCCCTATATTTCTTACACATATAAAAGACGGAGCAGAAGATTCAGGTGACGATTACATCTTTTAGGTTTACAGTGTAATCAAAACATGTAATACAATTATATTCCATACCTTGAAGTTTGTAATGAGCTTATTTTTTAAGTTTGTATCAAATTTGCACGTACGAGTATTTTGTGACCAAACCAGATTTCATACATACAAAACACACGTCTTAGTTATTAGTATAAGGGTTGCAAACTTGAATTATGTTTTGGGTGGCTTTTCAGAAGCATAATTTTGGGAAATAGAGTTTAAAAGGTTAAGTATATATTCTTGATCAGCACCGTCTATATGAATCTTAAAGTTATAAGATAGTAGAATAACTTTGTAGTTTGATTTCAAACTCGTCAATAAAGTAGTCGTCAGTTTATACGTTATCACCAGCGACCTATTGTTGGCTTTGTATATTATTGGTCCAACTAAGTCCAATTTATGCACTTTTTTAACATGACATTTTTCAATCCACATATTTTAGGCTTTGGATATGTTTGAGTCAAGATTCGTCAATATTATCTATATTGATAATGATATAGAATTATATGTCTTGATCACATTGTTTTACTATCAAGACTTCCTCTGCATTTAAATCCATTTATTTACTCATATATCATTTATAACCCACAGATAAAATCAGATGAAAAAGTAAGGATTCATATTCAGTTATAGCATGTATTGTTTCAAGTATAACATTGATTTTTGTTCTAATCGGTGTCTACATCTTCACGTGAATCACTCGATGACTTGTTGGCATTCTACTCATCGTCTTCTTCAGCTCCAGGACACTGAAATATATCGTCTTTTTGAGCTTCAAGACATGTGCATATTATGTGTAATATATTTTACAAATATTACAGCCATTTCATTAGCTGTATATTCTTGTATACCTTGCATACATTTTGGAAGGAAATACCGTTAGAACTACTAACTGCAAGACATGCAGCGTCGAAGCTTAGCTGGCTCGTGATCTTTAGTACTCAGTTCTGACAAGGAAGCAGTTTTAAAAAATCGTAAAAATGTTTAAAGAAATAAATGTCTATTCAGTCTTTGTGTAGAAAGTTATACACGCAATTTAAAAGGCGAAAGTTTGAACATCGGAAAAACTCTTCATTGCAAGTTTTAAAATTGTATAAAGATGAATTTATGAATTAAAACTACTTTTTAAACCTTTTTTTTATTTAAAAGTAATGCATTTATTATCCCTTTGAAACAAAATATACTAGAATCTGCTGTTTTATAGAATAATAAACACGCTTTTTATATTTTAACTTACAACTCTTTTCATAAATAATAAACAATTTATTTCTTATAACGTCTAAAAAAATTAAGTGAATATGTTTACAATGTTTATCTAGCTACTAAAATATTATGGCACACTCAAACATAGTTACTCACCATTCCTTCACATCTATATTGAATCCCTCCATGGCCTGCTTGAGCCATTCCTGAAAATAAAAATAAAAAACATTGTTTTAGGAGCAAACACTTATTTAGAATCATATAAAAAAGGAATCTCTTCTCATTATTATATATCTTCTTATTATTATATTTTACACAGCCGATAAAAAAGTTATATCTCCCCTTTATCTTTTGAAAACCATTAACAGTTTTGGCGACAATTTAAGTTTTTTACTCGATATCGCGTTATAAATGCATTACTCAGTCTGATTTTCACAGATATAAAACAACTCTTTAAAAAAAAAAACTCAAATAAAGAATCTAACGGCTTTTCAAAAAACCATATAATTGATTGAGAAGAGGTTGTATTAAGATAATTCCTAGCCTTTTACATAAATAACTTAAAACAAATTGTATTCGACCAAATGTAAACTAGTGTTTTCAATACTCTAGTTTTTGTTTCATTTTAAAGAAATAATTATGATTTGTTGAAAACCATAGCTGTTAGAATACATGGTCACTTTGACAAATTAAATAAAAACCAGCGTGTTGTAAGCATTAACTTATTATTTAATTAACTAAAACAAAATATTGCTGTTTTACCACATTATTCTTACACACACAACTAAATTTAGCTTTTTTCACGTAAGCTGATACGCTAATTTTATATGGATTGGCAAACGATAAATTGACAGTTATCGTTTGCCAACAACAGTTAACAACAGTTACCTGAGAAGACACAGATAGCAGCGATAGCAGCAACAACAATCTTGACGAGAGACATTGTGATGTTCTTTCTGAAACAAACAATCTAATAATACCTGTTTTGAATAAAGGCTTAAAACAAACGTAGATTTACATGTGTTTGGTTGGCATTAACAATGCAAACTGGTTTTATACTGACGAGTATATTATTGTGATAAATAAAATATTTATGTATTTAAAAGGTTTACAATTGTTTTAAAATAGGCAAATCTTTTGATGGACAAAATAATACAAATCGGACCAGTTATTAATAATGAACTCGCATAAGCACAACAAGCTATTATAAAAGTTGAGCGTACTATTTAATTAAATTTTTATTTTATTGGTTAACAGATGATAACTTACCTTACGAAGTGATGTAACAGTTGTGGTTTAACCCTCGTCTTACATAGCAAGAGCTGATCATTGTTTCATGTAAACTAACAATTCATATTGGTTTGATATTGACACAAGTGGCTACGCACTATTTAAAGGATGACGTAGACGTAAAGAAACGATCTCAAACAATGAGGTATGTTTTTGGAACACATTTCGTTTTGACGAACGCAATTTGGAGGAAATATAAGTTTGTACGTTGTATGTGTTAAAAATGGCACTTAAACAGGCAGATATTAATATGTTCTGAAATTAGTTAAAAATAAATGGTGTTTTTAAATTGGTTAGGACTCTGAGTACACAATTAATTACATAAAAACATTCAAACCATAGAGGAATAGAAAAAGTAAATTATACATAATTCGTAGCCTTAATTGTGTTACCTAACGATGAGTAAGGGCAGTACATTTATGTTTTTTTACTTATTTAACTTCGTGTACTGGTGAAATTACATGCTGTAAAGTGATCCTTGTAACCTTGAAAGGCGACCGGTTTATATCCTCACGGGATCATAATCAGACGGACATCGTCATTGTCTTCTCGTTCTTATGATTAACATAGTTTTACAACACTTAAAACACTGAACATAAAAAACACGAAAATGGCCAATAACTTGGTACCGATCGGTTGAGCGGCGGGCGACACGGAAGTTGTTAAGTGTTGTAAAACTATGTTAATCTCAATGTTTTTTTAAAAAAGACTTGTTCACAAGAACGGAAAGACAATGACGATGTCCGCCTGAAGATGATCCCGTGAGGATCGAAACCGGTCGCCTTTCAAGGTCACAAGGATCACTTGACAGCAGGTAATTTCACCAGTACACGTATTGATCAGTGATTCAGATACTTAACTCAAACAAAATTAAGTATTTAATTGCATTCATACCGGTAGTAAAGAACACATATTTATTTTACTGATTAAACCTACATAACCCTTTCTGAACCCAAACTATATTTTCAAAAATTAGCTGCAATATTTACTAGTACACGAAACATTAAGAAAGAAATTAAAACGCAACCAAAAAGTTAAGTGAGAATTTTTTAAAGTTCACATTAAATTGAAATGAATTTATAGTCTTCGTAATGAATACCAATCATTTAACACTATGTTTTCAATCTTATAACATTTTCTTAAGTATCAGCACGACCTAAAAAGCCAGACGTGACAATTTTGCTAACATATCTGATTGACTTTTCTTATAGGCTTGCTGTTAATAAAGCAATCTATTTTAACATTACTGGTTTATATTGATCAAAAATAATTCAGGTATGACGTTAACATTGCTTGTGTTTGAAGGGAGAGAATATAAATGAATAAAATAACTTATTTTTATTCAATTGAAATAAAGAATCCCTTTTTATGAAGTCGGTTCCTAGGAATTTCTATAATATTTTGGAATATATTTTTGGAGTTAAAATGTTATGGTCGTGGTAGACAAGTCTAATAAGATGTTTAACTTTTGAAGAGAAATTATTAATTAATAAGATTGTTTACTAATAAATACTACTCCAACAAATAAGTTGCAGTATTATTAGTAATAGATTATTAATATATGTATTAAATCTGTCTCCTAAGGCCTAATGATTGGACCCTTCCTGCCAGTAATATAGATCATTTGGCAACAGAAACTCCACGGCGTCTGGCCAAAAATTCGACGTTCTTTCGTTACCATTTTACCATCCAACAACCATTTTTATAGTTAGTTTTAATTCATTTTGACACAATAAATTATACTAGAGTTAATATTACGTTTAGTTCAGTTTGTCTAATTGGCCAATTTATCAGGAGGCATTAGGAGTGGTTAGGAACATTAGGCACTTTAAAAAACCCTTTCATGTAAATAAACAGACAGCTCCATTACTTCCATCGTTCTTGTAAGACCAAGTAACCGGTACCCCTGGTTAGGTTTGAGGGCCAACCCTCTTTCCGAAGAGTTGCTTCCGCAGCCGGTGAGCCTGATGACCTCAAGTCATCCACCCATGGTGTGTCTAAGGTTGGTGCGTATGCTCCGGCCTACACCATGGGGCCCGGGTATGTTTTATTGTAGGTACCGGGTTACAGTTGGGGGGCTTTGGCTCTTATGACACAAAATGAAATGAAATAACATGAAAATGAAAAATTTCATCAAACAGTTGTTTCATTACTTTAATTCAAGCAAACGTGTTTATAAACTTTGAAAGCATGCATGGTGTTGCCCTTTGGAAATTGGCTTTCGATGTGTTATATGACTATGTTTTCATTAGATTAATGAACAATTATCACAAATTTTAATATATCACTTTAATAATATGGATGATTTTACTTCTGAATAATTCTGACATATGTTAATATAATTTATTCTTACAATGTACTCAATTCTAACGAAAATCAAACTCAACCCCGTAAAATATGACAGTGATCCGTTCTAAAATATATGTCTCATGTTGGATTTGTAACAAACACCAACCATTACACACAATCTTGTAACAGTTTAAGCGAAGCCAGCATTGTAACAAACACCAACCATTACACACAATTTTGTAACAGTTTCAGTGGAGCCAGCATTGTATCAAACACCAACCATTACACACAATCTTGTAACAGTTTTAGTGGAGCCAGCATTGTAACAAACACCAACCATTACACACAATCTTGTAACAGTTTCAGTGGAGCCAACATTGTAACAAACACCAACCTTTACACACAATCTTGTAACATTTCAGCGGAGCCACCATTGTAACAAACACCAACCATTACACACAATCTTGTAACAGTTTCAGTGGAGCCAGCATTGTAACAAACACCAACCATTACACACAATCTTTTAACAGTTTCAGTGGAGCCAGCATTGTAGCAAACACCAACCATTACACACAATCTTGTAAAAGTTCCAGCGGAGCCAGCATTGTAACAAACACCAACCATTACACACAATCTTGTAACAGTTTCAGCGGAGCCAGCACAATCTGAAGACTCACACGTGACGGTGCTGCAAATATTTCTGTGTCTTACTTTATTTTCCAACAGTTTTTAGGAACAATGATGAGTCGCACTTGTCAATTAATACAAAACTTCAAAACTATTTTCCTCATGTATTTTTTGTTAGTTTTCTTTATTAAAACAAAGAAATGTTTTAAATTTGGACAAATTTCGTAAACTAATGTTTCATTTGAGACACTTTAATACTTTTCAATGAAATGGCGACCATACAAAAAAAGTATTTTAAACCAAGTATGAATGGAGATAAGTGTACGATTAGTGGCGCGAA